TTCCAAATGTTTGGACTTTACCTCCAATTTTTAAATTATTAGACATTTTGAAAAAGAAATCACCATACTTCAGTTTGTTTTCTTAGAAGAGACTTCCAGGATGTTGGTACTAGATAAAAAGTTATGAACATTTTTTTAGTCCCTCAATACTTACTGATTTATGTTTTTTTTCAATAATAATGGTGGGATTTTTATTTTGCATTATTTTTGGGCAATAAAAAAGATTTGGCTAAATTAAGTAAACAATGTAAAGAAGGAACAATATTAATTCACTTTTGAGGGAAGGTCAACAAATTGCTATAAATACTCATGAAATTTTCATAACCTATTTTTCATGAGAAGGTAAGTGTGTTAATTAAAGCTCATGTTTTCATTAGATGCAGTAAGAGGGAAGTAGCTACCTTTTATTTAATAAGATACACACATTCATTCCTCTGAATCTTAGATTATCAGTGGGATTATTGGATGGAATAGCAAACCTGCTGAGGCAAGGTTAGGGTGTGGGAGAGGAAGGCCGACTTTAACCTTGATAAGGATGTGGATGGGGTTATGAATGCTGACTCTGCTTCCTCCTGCCCAGATGTTCTGAGGCATAAAGAGTATGGTGATGACAGTGGCCGTGGATGGAAGTAGAATACGGGGGCGGCAGCCAACTTGGAAATTTACTACTTGAAGTTTCAGGATTTAAAAATACCAATATACATACACACAGAACCTCAATCTGATCCATGTAACAAATCAACTCATCCAATTTAGTGGTGTTTCTTATTACATTTGGAAGTTATACATCTGGTTAACTTAAAGAAATCACCCAAGGATTTAAAAACAATGGACTTGGGACATGTAGTTAGCCATTTAAAAAGATGAAATAAGGGAAGAACTCTACCTTATGTCATATACCAGAATAAAATCCAAATGAAATGAAGTGGAAAAAAATGGAAGAATTCTGTAATGATCTCAGAAAGGGAGGTCATGTTAAACTATAACACAAATCCATAAAATAAGCCATAAAAGAAAAAGAAAATGATGGCTTTTTCAGCAAAAGAATGTCTGAATGATAAAAAAAAAATTAGAATTAAAAAACAAAGAAAAAAGGCAAAAGCAAAAGACAACAGCAAAAAGATATTGGCACAATTAATGTTATAGAAAATGGACTAAATAGAAATCGATAAGAAAATGACAGAAAAAAATAGGCAAAAAATATGAGGAGATAGATCATAAAAGAGAAAATGAAAATATTTTCAAACTCATTCACTTTAAGGGAAATGTATATTAAAACTGCTAAGAAATATACTGTTTTTGCCTATCACACAGACAGAATTCCAAAAGCTTGAACGTATTTTCTAGACAAGCCTGTGGAGAAAAGTCATTCTCATAAATTGCTGGTAGGAGTTTGAATAGGCACAAATTTTGTAGGGGACAATTTGGCAGTGCCTGTCAAAATTGCAAATGATGAACACTTGTGACCATTCGTTCTTTACCTAAGAATGCACGTGACAGAAAGTCTTGCACACATCCAAAATGAGGGCTACATACGAGGTATTTCAGCAATATTAGGGGTCAACAATAGATAGACTACCTAAATATTTATCAATAGAAAACTGGCTAATACATATATCACATATATCATTCAATAAATACTATGCAGCTGCAAAAAAGAATGAGACAACTTTTTATATACTAATGTTAGAAAATTCCTAGGATAGATTAAGTGAAAATGAAAAGGTCCATAAAAATGTGCATTGTATTTCACCATTAGGGTAAAAAGTTAAATGAGGAGAAATAAAGAATACATATCTTTGCATATATAGAGTATTGCATATATTGCCATCTATATGCATAAGTAAAATGCATATATATATTGCATTTATAAATTGCATATATAAAGTATTGCATATATAAAGTATAAATTGTACATATAAAGTATATATACACAAATGCATACATATATACGTGTATAAAGTATATATGGCTTGCATATGCCTAATTTTTTTTTTTCTGGAAGGAGAAACAGGCGATTAATAACAGTGATTAGCTATAGGGAATATATAGAAGATTAGCTTATGGAAACAGGGATGGGAGGAAGATCCATTACTATATCCAAAAAGTTAAATTAAAAAAAATAGTCACTTTGACCCATTTATAATTAAATTCATCTTCTGAAGCTGGAATAATAATATATACAAATATTTAAATACTTGGTTTTAATCATTTTCATTGGCTCTCTGAAAGTACACAGTATAACACTGAAAACCACCAAAAGCAGCACATAGAATAAATAAGTAGAGAGAAAGGATGTGATTCTTTTCCTTTTACTCTTCTTTCTGTGACTTACGGTGGATTTACATTTTCAAATGTTTAAAGTTTCTGACTTACTGCTAAGAAATAATTGTCAAATGTCTTTTTTCCTTTTAAGAAGAAAATTGAGACACACATCAAAGTGAAACCTCTAATATTAATTTTACTTGGCTTATTACCTAGAACGGTCATTTATAAGGCACACTGTTTCCTTCAATAGTTTGTTAGCTCTTGGACAAATTTTATTTTATAAATAAAGGGTGTGTGGCGTGTGTGTGTGTGTGTGTTGTGTGAAGAGAAAGAGAGAGGGAGGTGTTCTAGTTTCTCTCTTGTGTGTGTCTCATGACTAGTACCACTTTCCACCCACCTGCACAAGGAAAGAAAAACAAAAACAAAACAAAGCAAAAAAACTAGAGATCATCCTTAGGAGAGTCTCCCTTTATCACCTCCCCTCCAATATCCAAGTGACAATATCCAAGAGAGACCATCACCATATTATCACTTGGAAATCCATCCTTCCTGCCCTCTCTTTACCTAAGGCCCTGGATCTTTCATCTAGATTACTGTTAGTCTTACAGCCAGCCTCGCCTTCTAATCAAATTATCATACAGCTGCCAAAATAATATTTTTTTTATATAAGAGAAAGCAAACAACAAAAAAAGTTAAAAACTCTCCTCTCATCCTCAGTGTGATTTGAGTTCTTAATAAATTTCGCAAATGTTAATTTGAGTTGGTAATCTCTGATTTACTAATTCACCAGATGCCCATTCCTTAAAGGGAAATAAAATACACAGTTACCTCGCACACACTCCCCTCCCTAAAAGCCTTAATGCAGTCTCTCAATAAGTAAATTGATAAAAAATTGTGCTGGTAGCATTAGTCCTGGATGATATAAGCTAGGCTGGCATGATCATGATACTGCTGCATGGACATGGACTCCCCCACCACGTTTCCTTGCACCTCCGAGTGTTGGCACATGCTTCTCCTGGCTGTGTGTTGGTGCTCCTTCTTCCAGCCAAATCTCAGACCTGCCACTGCTCTGCTGGAGCTTCAAGGCTCCCTACCCTGCACTTGTTTGGCTCCTGGCACTAAACACTGTATGCTACCAACACACTTTTTATCAATTTACTTATTGAGAGACTCCATTAAGACTTTTAGGGAGGGGAGTGTGTCTTCTAACTCTATCTCTTTTATCTCCTTTATACATCACCCGCCACTGTAGCCAAGGCAGAGGTAGATATCAGTACCTTTTTATTCAAGAAGGAAGAAAGAGGGAGAGGGAGGGGAGAAAGAAGGAGGGAAGGAAGGAAGGAAGGGGGAAGAGAAAAAAGGAAATGATGGAGAGAGGGAAGGGAGGAGGAGGAAGAAAAAGAAGAAATAATTTTTAATCATTGGCAAAATTTGACCAATTGTGAGAACTTAAAAGTTGTTGAAGAAATAATGAACAAATTATGAAATGAAGTCAGTGATGAATGCATAATCTATCATTTTTCAATTGTAATAAGTTTGATGCCCACCACCCCCCCATCTGAAGCAATCAAGTGTTGTTCAGTGCAGGAAGCAGTGCCTTAGGGCCATAACGAGGGTGGGAGTGAGCAGCCTACAGGGGAAACAGAAAGCAACTCCTGCCCCCTTAATGCCTCACTGTTGAGCAGACTGTTGCAGCTGTTCTGCTAAAACACATCTTAGGAGAGAAGTGGGAGACATTTAGCTTTCAGTTTCTAAGGGGACCAAACAATAAAATGTTCACAAACTTGAAAGTTTACACATAAGTCTTAATTAATTGCATTTAACTGTTCATTTTGCTAAGTCTGAGCTATTCTGAAGGGGGAAAAAAATGCTGCAATTTTTTTGACAAAAGGGTACTGGCAGGAGCTTCCATAAAATCGGAGGAGGGCCAGAGGGGAGGGAGAACTAGATAGAAAAAAATGTACCTCTCCCCCTGAATCTGTCACAGCCTCCTAAGGGGTGTCTTCCAAGTTCAGTTTAGACTGAATCAGTGCATATGGTCCATGCCACAGGCAGAGTAAAAAGGGTCAAGCGGACCTGGATTTGAATGCTAGTTGCACCTCTGGGTCATGGGTGCTTAACCTCACTGATCCTCAGGTTCCTTATTCATGAATTGAGGATAATAATTTTCCCATGGGGGATTAAAGATGGAGGGTTTAAACTTCCTATTTAAGTGCTGTTCATATAGCAGGCACTTGAAAATGGCAGCTAAAATGATTATTTCCTCACCTTTGCCTTTGCCTTCAGACTTACCTAACTCGATGCCCACTGTCTTCCCTTTACTTATCCAGAATTTAGTTTTCCTCCAAAGCATAACTCAAGATTCATTTTCTCCATTCAAAAACCATTCAAACACAAAGAATGTGTATTTTTTCTCAATGTGATATTCCCAGTTTCCAATATTATTGATGGCCATTAGGATATGGTGCATTTTATTACTTAATTGTTCATGTTCTGAAAACATGTCCTTTCACATCCAGAAAGGGATGTGTGTATCAGCTGACCTAGAATTTGGTTCTGGAATCTGTGGGCAAAGCATGTTATTCCTTTACAAATCCAACAGGATTCTGGTCCTGGAGAGAATCATTCTTTACCTTTAGGATAGAGAGACCTGGCCTTGCTTGCAGAATATTCTAGTATGCAAGGCTGCCCTTGGGCACGGATGCCATCCAGTCTTCCTCTCCCTTTCACAGATGACAGCAAACCTCGGCTCAGCAGCAGCCCACCCTTGGCCACCCTGGGCAGTCTGCTGGATGACCAGCACTGGCACTCGGTCCTCATTGAGCGGGTCGGCAAGCAGGTGAACTTCTCTGTGGACAAGCACACACAGCACTTCCGCACCAAGGGTGAGGCAGATGCCTTAGACATCGACTATGAGGTGAGTTGACTCTCCCTGCAGGTCCCCAGGCCTTTTGCACAGCATCAGTTAAAAAAAAATCAGCAAACAAAAGAGCAATTGAGAGAAGATGGGGTGCTCTGACAAGTCTTACCATGGGCTCATCTCCTCTGTCTAAGCCCAGGCAGCCTTCAGTGAAGAGTCCAAGGAGGGCATCTGAGCAGTGTTTGTGGGGAGAAGTGTCTTGGTAACAATGGGACATCAGCAAATTGTGTGCATTTTAAAATCAAGAAATCTCCTTTTTCACTTTAAAATTTTTTGTCCTGCCTGTAGCCTTCCTGTATAACTGTGTAGTCTTGTAGTTACACTCAGTTGTTCTTTTTTCAAAAATCAATTTCAATTAGCTGGGAAAATACAGAAATTATACTAACATAATATTATATGTCAAGTATACCTGAATAAAAAAAGAGAGAGAAACAAAATCCAAAGGAATCTAAAATGCACACTAGGGGCACTTGTGTTCAACCTTCATTCCTATGCAACTCTCGACAATATACACGGACAGTCATTTCTTTCTTGCTTTCTTGTATGAGAGCAAGAAATGCACTGAACCTACAACACAAAGAAGGTTGCACAGAGTTCGGCAAACTGGCAGACAAAAGTTACCCGTCTTTGCGAGTAGTTCAGTTCAACAAGTGTGCCTCTGCTGTATACCAGACTTTTTTCTAGGCAATAAATATACAGAGATGAATGAAACAGGGTCCTTTTGTTCGAGAAGCTTACAGAACTTTTTTGCAGGATTGTGGCAAGGCCAGTTTTATGTTTTAGACTAGTAATTCTGAATGTCTGTAGCAGGAGTCAGCCCAATTAGCATCCCTTGGGGAATTTGTTAAAAATGAAAATACTCAGGTCCCACCCAGACCTGCTGAATCAGAAACTCTGGGAGAAGAGCTCAAAAATTTGTTTTAGAAATCCTCCAGGTGACACTCTACTGTTTGAAAAGTACTATTTTGAGCAGTAAGTATAAGTCTGTAGCTTAGACTTGTGGGGAGGTGGAGGCAGGGCATTGATGGACAGATAGTGGGAAACTCTGTTAGGCGACGATTCTAGTCACCAGTGGGGTGCATTCTAGAACAGTGGAGGTGGAGATGAATAATTGAAAAATTAGGGTCTGACTTACATTTATCAATCACCATCATGAGCTATAAGAAAGATTTACTCTTGGGGCGCCTGGGTGGCTCAGTTGGTTAAGCGACTGCCTTCGGCTCAGGCCATGATCCTGGAGTCCCGGGATCGAGTCCCGCATCGGGCTCCCTGCTCGGCGGGGAGCCTGCTTCTCCCTCTGACCCTCCCCCCTCTCATGT